AAGCCCCTACACACCTGTGTGTAGAATGCCAGAACCAACCAGGGCTTGTGGATCAATCTTTGCTGGGACCAATAGTGAGATGTTAGCCCCCCAAATGTTGGTGCCTTTGACCTTTGATAACATATCACCAGTCACCTCCCCCTTCAAAGACCCTTCAAAATTGACTTGTCAGTTGAATGGCTTGTAACAACACCCAAATCAATACAACACAGATGTTGGTATTGTATTGGTTTAGTATTGGCAATGCAACACAAAAAGTTGGATTTTCTCGTAGCGGTTCAGCCAACCCAACATGTGGAGCACCTTTTTTCTGGGTATTGGCAATACCATATCCAGGCTTGAACCAACATAAGATCACCTCATAAAAAGACTGCTTCGAACCCCAATCGCAGTTGCAATTGGACTTTTGCTACAAATTCCATGTTGTATTGGCTTGTATTGTTTGGGCAATACAATATGAGCCACAATATTTTTTTGGTCTACATATTGTATTGGGTATTGGTTCAGATATGTTGGTCCCCCAATAAAACATGAAAAGTGTCCAAAAGTTGCATTGTATTGGATTGGTTTGGGTGTTGCTTGTACACCCCATCCTTTCACAGTCCTGCTGGCACCTCCACCTCTGCCTTGCAATTGTCTTTGGTTTCCAATCCTCATATCAATCCCATTCTCTTTGATACCCCTCTCTTTGAACAACACTCTGTTGAGTTCTCCTTCAACTGTCTGCAGTGGCCTGCCTGCTCACCCAAACACTCAATCAGCTTCACCAAATAAGAGGCCTGCTAAAGTTATTGACATTGGCACTGATCACCCAGAAGAAGATCATGAGGGTAAGACCTTATCAATATTAATGTTTGATTGACCAATGGGGAAGTGAAAAGTGTGCCTATGTAGATTTACCCCTGCCTGTGGACCTTGAAGTATGAAAATTACAACCCCAAGGTCTACAACAACAAACTCACATGATTCCTGATCCCCATGTGACATTTGTTATGTTCAAAAGGTGACTTTTCCAAGTGTGTGACAAAAAAATTCCCGGTCTTTCTGACTCACTTAGCAACACGTGGTATGCCCAAGAAGTTGACATTCAAGCATTCATAAATGCTGCCTGTAAAATCAAGGCAGCCAAAATGGTCATTGAAGATCAGGAATCTTTCCGTGAATTCATGACCGCCACAAGAACCCCAAAGTTGCTGATAACACCAATTGACTCATGGAAACTATCACAGCCACCAACTACTGGTCACTGGCAGGCCAGTGCACCCCATGTCCCCAAAACAGTTTCAACCAAACATCAATTTGTTTTGAACATAACATCCAACTGCTATCAAGATGTTCTGGGTCAATTACCAGCAAAATATGTCATGCCACCAAAATTGAGATGATGTCATACAGCATCATAAATCTGTACAAAACTGCTCCTGTATTTCCCCACCAAAAATATATAGTTTATTAAGGTTTATTAACCTTTGTGGTAAATTGACTGAGTTATTCACGTTTGAAAAAAAATCATGGACAAAAAATAATATTTGCATACTATACCTAAGAATTGATTCTGGAATATCTTCCACCTTTATCAATATACATACAAAAAATTGATATTCCTTTTGGAAATATGTTCCTCCACATTTTTGTCCCCTGAAGGCTGTCCTGTATGGGCAGTATTTATATATGTAATTGTGGTCTGTACATGAGCAGTCAACATTTTCATTGATTCATTGATTCTAGGCAGAATATGGCAAAGTTTATGGCAAAATTTTTTGTCAAGTACCATTTACATGTATATCAATCAAATTCAGAATGATTTTGGCAATATGTTCCCTCAAGATTTGTCTTGGCACAAAGAACTTCAGAAAATCAAACTTGTGGACACATTCAGGAATTTCATGTAGAAATACTGCCCAAGGCTGTAGGGGACAAAAATGTGGAGAAACATAATTTCAAACAAATATGGTTGGTAGTGCCAAGAAGCTTCAAAGGTTGGACCAGCGGGTATGACTCTGCCAACTTGAGGCCAAGCCACAAAACTCACGCAATTTGGGAGCTAATGACACTGTTGGACCCCGGATATTAATGGCAATTCAGATATGTCATTGGGATTTCAATATTTGAACTTCTTGTTTTAGTTGGTTTCTACAACATAACTAAATCTTGTCTTGAAGTGTAGTTTTTGATAAATATCTGGTCCAAGACATGACACTTCTTGGCACTAGCAACCATATCAATTTTTTGTATGTATATTGACAAAGCTGCAAGATATTCAAGAATCAATTCTTAGGTATAGTACAAAGATAGTATCTTTTGTCCGTGATTTTTTTTTTCAAAACTCAATAACTCAGTCAATTTACGTCACAAAGGTTAATAAACCATATATTCTTCGTGGGGAAATACAGGAGCAGTTTTGTACAGATGTATGATGCTGTATGACATCATCTCAATTTTGGTGGTATGACATATTTTGCTGGTAACTGACCAGAACATCTTGATAGCAGTTGGATGTTATGCTCAAAACAAATTGATGATTTGTTGAAAACATTTTGGAGACATCGGATGTACTAGCCTGCCAGTGACCATTAGTTGGGGGCTGTGAATGGTGCTGTAACTGCAGTCAACAATGCCAGCATATTAACCTTGGATTGGGAAATCCAAGGCGTTCTCGGATCTGAAACCTCAGACAGAACCTATCCAAGGTTTCTGTCTGAGGTATCATTATGCGCCCAAATTTACCTTGAATCAAAACCTCAGATAGCTTCTGTCTGAGGATTTGCATCTGAAAATACCTCGGATCAGGAGATCTGAGGCATCTATGTTGGCTGTGCAACTCTCCACCCAAAAAAAAAGAAAAAAATCAAAGAAGACACCTACGTCCCCAACTCAATTTCAATGGAGTAATCAACCAGATTAGTTGGACTTCATATTCCTCTCTCACTTGTGTCAGTTCCAGCTGTCTGCCATGGCCAAGACCAGGTGGAAATTGATGCACTTTGCATCTTAAGGTGAGTGACATTTAACAATATCTAGATCTTAGTTGAATGGTGTGCTAGCTAATATGTGTCAATTGATCATATAGCATCATCCTGAAACTTGAGACAAATTTGGTCTGATCACTGCCAATTGAAAAACACACACCTTGAAGAATCAATATGAGCAGTTGAACATGTGGCTCCCAAGAGCTGAGCAAGTCTCTGACAGTGCGAGTGGAGCGCAGGAGGTTGATGAAGAGCTACGCCTGTTGTTGGCTGATTTCTTCAACAAGGAAAAGGTTGATGATTTCCTTCTGGTCTCCGCAATATAAGATTGATTTTCACTGATATAAAAATCATGTCTTTATTCAGGAATTGGAGGTAGCTACCTTAGCCGCAAAAGACACAAAAGAAGCTGCTGCCACCTCTTTTGATCAAGCCAAAGATCTATGTAATGAGTTATATGGTAGGCATTTATCAAGACCCACTCCAGCTGGAATGGACAAAGAAGAGGCACAATTGGATGATGATGTTGGTCACCTGCCTAACTCGATTTGTACCATATGTCACAAGTTGGAACAAAAGCTTGATGATGGCAGAACCGGTGCCCACATGGTTGAGGTCACCATGAAGGGCAGTGAGGCCCAAGAACAAGCCAATGAGATCACATCAATGGCCCTCGAGAAACACAACCAACAAACCAATGTCATCAACCTTCAACGCAAATGGGAACTAGCTCAGTCTCAGGCCTGGCTCGAACTAGATTCTTGCATGGGACAACACACACTGGATTTGCAAAGGGAAGAGCTTGCTGCAGCGACCACATGCAAGGAGAAGACCGATGAACATATTGATGGACTCAAGTCATCAATGTCTAATGTGCTAGGCACACTTTCTGAGATGGGTTCAGTTCTGAAGATGCTTGCAGAGCATCTTCCTGATCTTAATACCTCATCCTGAGGTTTCAGTCAAGGTGATTACTAGAGTCCGACTGAATCATATGAAACATATACCTTCTTCTGACATCTTTTCTTTACTTTCCAGAATCTATCAATCTTATCTCGTTGGATACCGCCTGCTATTGATTCACTTTGAAAAACCTTGAATCATTCACCTTAGTTATTGACCGTCTGTACCGACTTATCCTTGTCCAATCATTTGTATGAGTCCATATCTACTTTGATAAATTTTACGTAATCCTTGTACCCATAACTCATGTTCCTGATCATACAAATTTTATTCAACTTTTTCTTATTTGTGACACCAAGTCATTTATCACATAATCCAAGCAATGTTATGTTTGTTTGCTCACAAGCAATGATATGAGTGTGAGATGAATCAGGCCGGGATCACTTGATTGACCCATACATGGACGACATGATGTCATGAACATGCATAGCTGACTTTGATTGTTAGACCTTGACATAGAATTTATAAGACAAGATTGATGGAATATTCAACAAATCAAACACACAATTAAGCAAACACTAGATATCATTGTTTCAGAATAAAAGAATCACATAATTCATTGAATTGAAATAGAGCGATCACAAAAGATAATCAAACCAAGTTACTATTAGTCAAACAAAAAAATCAATCAAAAATCATTTGGCAAAAAATTAATCTAAAAATATATCAATCAAGAAACCAAGGAAAAAAACGAGGAAAATAAATTTGATCAAAAATAAATTGATCTGTAACAAATCAATCACACAAGCAAAAGAGATGGCAACAATCTTGACTTTTGAGAATTAACAAGCTGACTGATATGATCCTATATATATTCATCAACATCATTAAGCACCACTCTGGGTCCCTTGTCTGCACCCATCCATAGGCTTGCAAAATACAACTCCAATGTGGGTGGGGCTGCTACACCACCCAACAGGCCACAATCACAACATACAAGCAAGTTCTAGATGCTCACTACACAGTGATAGAACAAGTTAAGTTCATTCACACAACACCTGAGATTGTCTACACAAAAGCAATATGTGATCAGATATTCAAGCTTATCCCCATATCCATCTGCACATGACTACATACCTTTGCATTGAGTCATGCGGAAATAATTCCTTGATCATCCAAATTCATGTTCAACTGCTATCCGCACACTTGACATAATGTGATTGAACCTGGCCTGGCCAGCACCCAGATTGATGCCAGGATAAGGAGTCAGCATCACTGCTGAGTTCCAATAGCCCTGATCGCCGTATTGCATCATCTGGTGTCCTCCAAATCCCTTGGTGTCGCCCTCTAAGACCTCACTCAAACCTGACATCCTCAAGATTGCTGTATTGTGGCGAGAACCTAAGTACACCTCCGTTAAATATGCAGTTATAACACTACAAAATAAAATACACATTTTGTCAGATAAAAAAATTAAAAACCATTGAATCATTCCACTCACTCAGGAGTCACTACGGCCTGGTATCTCAGGGCATTTGATTGCTTGTGACCATTATAAAAGGCACATTGATTGTGCTTTGGTCATGCAATATGCCACACTGTTCCTGTAATCAACACAACAATTGCGGGATACAAAGTAGAAGCCGGGCACGTGCCCGGCTTCGTGCCCGCATTTTTTTGGCAGTAAATTTTGATTTTTTGGGCAAAAGTCCGGGCCCAGAATTCGAATTCTCCATTGTGTTGTTGGGTGGGACATCTTTTTGCAGGGTGGGCGGGAAGGAGCAAAAAAGAATCTTTCACACAACCGTGTTGTGTGATCTGAGAGTGCTTGCGGTACTCTTCAGTTCAGAGACTGATGTGAGCAGGGTGAGTGAAAATCCTTGCACAAGTTTCTCAGAATGTTCTAACATTCTTCTCATGCGGGGTTCACATGATCCCTGTCACAGATCCCGCAAGTCAATCATGGACTAGAGAACCACCTGTGATATGGTGGTTCTCAACATCCATTCTACACTTGCGTCTGTAATGTGTAGTGTGGATCCTTTAGAGAGGGCAGAACCCTCTTCTAGTGTCTGAACCTTTGGTTCAGGGCAACGTATGTCATCTGTCGATGTCCGCCCAATGATGCGCGCTCCTTACTTGAAGTCAGGAGGGCGCGGGTTGGGGAAGTGAAGGGCCCCCGGCCCAGGGTTGGTTTTGGTTCCCATGAACCAAGACTGGCCCCGGCTAGGAGACCTCCATGCCGGCCCTCCCCCCCTCTGTGTCTGGGTCTCTCGCCTCTTGTGTGACTGGCTGCCCTCAACTCGGGTGCCTGTCAAGGCGTCCTGAGCCTTGGGCACACACCCCCAAACGCCTGTACTGGCGCGTGAGTTGCACCCGCCTCAGGATCTTCTCACATCTTCTTGCTTCTGTCAATCAACTTCCTTACCATTCAGTAGTTAATCAACATTCAGCCACAGATCATCTCCCACTCAAATAAGGTTTCAGCTCGCATGGTGTGGCCCTTGTGGGTCTCAGTGGTGGAAAAAACTTCCATTTCTCACATTGCCTTAACCTTTACTGACTCTTTTATTTCAAATCTCAGCCTCTAAATCTCTCTCCTCAACGGTGCGCCTGTTTTACAAAATCTCCATCATTGCTGGCCAGTTTGGCTCTGATATTGCCTCTAGCAATGCCAACACCTTGTCGAGCTCCGTCTGATCATACGCCTTCAGGTAATTTAAATCAGTTAGAGATTTCCACCGCCCTTGTTTTGAAATGTTCTCCAAGGGTGTCTCCAAGTTAAATTGCAGTAAGGCCCCGCCGACACAGAACAAATGCCCGCTCCAAGTGCCTAGGCTGGCCTTCCCCCAAAATTTCCCCACTGCATTCAAAAATTGGGTCTTTGACAATGGCTTTACTTCGCCTCTTTCCAGTGTTGCAAATAGTATTGTGTCAGGGTCTTGGGTACTTGTCCTCTTTAGCCACCACCTGATTGCTACTACTGGGTCTAAGACGTGGTGTTGCTGTTGTAGGTGGATCACTTGAACCTCGCCAGGTTTGGTGGTCTTGGCTTTCCGTAGATGTAGTCTGATGTAGTTGCATCTGTTTCTAGAACCAAACTTGATGTGTTTTCTCAACAAGGCTCCACTTTCTACCGACTTTCTCAGGAGCTTGCCAAGCTGAGCCATACCCCAGAATGCGACCAACCCGACTGTTCCTACGAGTTGAGTCATTTCTGATCTGTCGTGAGTTTCCTTCAGAAGATCAAACAGCTGGCTGACTTTAATGGGATTCTTCTTTGTGACTAATGCTCACTCTTCTTTGCTTCGCTTTGTAGCATTCAAGAGTGTTTTAACAACTTCTGGGTTGGCCAAAGGTCTCGAGGTGTGGTGTACAATATGCCACGCCCTGATGCCATTGAGGTATTTCTTAATAGTCACGGAGCTTAACGGTTTCAATGGTCAGTTTTCGCACTGACTGCTCTTTTTGCTTGCCCAGGCCACGAAGTTGTATAGGTCTTGGTCTGATACCGGTTCGTCAGGGTTAAATCCGGCTGAAGTTTGTTCTTTAAATTCGATAAATTTGCTCGTACCTGAGCTATATCCGGCCAAGGTGGTTTTTGCCCAGCTGCCTGCTGCCGCATGTTTTCCAGCTTGTGAGGCATTCCTAGTTGCAACTTCGAAGTGCTTTGGTAGATTAGACATCTGGGCTTGATAGCATTTGAGGTGGGTTGGAGGATGGTATTGGGCTATTGTGACTCCTGCACAATGAAGTCTTTCAGGTCTAGGGGTATTCTTATCCATACCATATCTGCAACTTTTTTTGACAAGTCAAAACCTCTCAAAAGGCAATTGGCAATGTTGTCCTCCAACACCACCCGCCGTACCTCGATGCAGGACTCATCTTCTAACAGCATGTCTTGGAGTTGTGAGTACTCTCGATTTACTTTCCGATCCCTCGACTTTCCGTTCCTGACCGCGTGCTCTGTAACCGTGTTGTCTGTCAACATCAAGAACCTCTTCCCTTTCACGTTCCTCAGTTGTCTCAGCATGATGTAGCCTAGCCTAACAGTGACGGTCTCTGCCCAGGCAATGTCGCGCTTGCCGTTGTCTGTTGGGTTGTCCCAACCCCTCCAAAGTCTGAACTTACTCCATCTCCTACCGATGATCACTCCGATTTTGTATGATGTCAAAGCATCACCTACCCAACCCGTGTTCAGAATCTCTGAGTTAATGATGAGGTGTCACAGTTGTACAGTCCGCAATTCCCGGAGCCATCTGTGTGAGTCTTCTCTCACTGTATCTGGGATGTCCCTCAGTGCCAACTGGTGTTTCCATTCTGCTAGCCATGCATAAATGTCTATGGTGTTACACTTCATTTGTGGAAGCACCATCACCGTGTGGTTTAGGCAGCCCGCAAGGCATTGTACTGATTTGAATCAATGTGATTTGGCCACCAGGAACTCCGTAAGATTTTGGATTCTTTCATCTATTTTCTACTGCACTGCCAACATAGATGCCTTGGGTCGCGGAATCCGAGGCCTCATCGGAGGTAAATCCTCGGACAGACCCTGTCCGAGGTTTTTGTCCGAGGTAATCTTTTGCGGTGAGAATTGCCTCGGATCAAAACCTCAGACAGAAGCTGTCTGAGGTTTGGAATCCGATGATACCTCGGATTTTTCAATCCGAGGTAAATATGCTGGCGGTGCTGTGGTAATCTGACTGTTTCATTTGTACTGTTCCATATGAATCCCAGGTACTTCTGCTCTTCCGCAAAGTTGCTTTGTTTCTCTTGGTTTTCCACTATGCCCATCTCACCTGAAAGTCGTTAGATGTCTTTGCGGTTGAGGCCTGACTTGTCTGACCTGGATTTCACAAACATCATGTTGTCTACCCAGCGGAAGGCTGCCCTGAGTGGAAAACAGTGCAAAATGATGGCTTTCCAAGCGTTGGCGACTCTCCCAAAACTGCCGCAACCTGTGACCCCCCCAAATGTTATTCGGGTGTCCAAGAGGACCTTGTTGTTGAAAGTTAGAATCATCAAAAAACACCACTGGTTTGGGGACGTCAGGACTTGGCGGTATGCCTTGGCCCAGTCAAAGATGGCCAACAGCATGTTGTCAGGTAAGCTGCTCAGAAAGTCTGCTACCACTCTAAAATTGTCCCATGTAGTGTCAAAATCATGTTTGTTGACCCCAGCGTTCA